AGAATATGGCGCGAGAATCGTGGGACTGTTGTCATTTTCATCCAGGATTAAAACGTTGACAGTGACGTTACTGCTGAGCGGAGGAACACCAGAGTCTGTGGCCTGAACTTTAAACTGGAATGTTTTTAACTCCTCGTAATTAAAAGACTGCAGGCTGATTATATCTCCTGTCTCCGAGTTGATATTAATCATTGTCGATAACAGCAGCTGGTTATTGCCAATTTTTAACAATGAATAGCTGATTTGGCTATTTTGGTCTATGTCTGCATCAGTTGCAGTCACTCTTTTAATGACTGCTCCCACTGGACTGTTCTCATTCACATAAACATTAATTACGGCCTCCGTGAACAGAGGTGCATTATCATTGACATCAGAAACGTGTATGGAAACTACACTTGTGCTGGTAAGTGGTGGAATCCCTTTGTCATTAGCGATTATATTGACATTGTAAATAGAGAATGTCTCCCTGTCCAGAGGTCCATCAACTAACAGCGAATAATAATTTTTGTAGTTAGTTTCGAGTTTGAATGGCGCTTTGATTTTAATTTGGATCTCCACATCACCGTTTTTTCCACCGTCTTTATCGAGGACAGATACAAGTGCAACTGCGGTGCCTACAGGAGCATCCTCTTTTACCTTCATATGTAATGACGTCACCGTGATCTCAGGAGCATTATCATTTAAGTCCACCACTTCTACCAGCACTTTACAGTGAGCGGACATCGGAGGATGCCCTTTATCACTGGCCAAAACACGTACCTCAAAAGCCCTCCTCTCTTCAAAGTCTATTTTCCCTTTGACCTTAATTACACCAGTCTGAGGTTCAATTTCAAATATATCAAGTACGTGATCTTGGTCTTTGCTTCTCAACGAATATACAATCTCACTGTTTAAACCCTCATCTGCATCAGTGGCGTTCACTGTGATTACCTTTAACCCCAGGGGAATGTTTTCTGGAATTTTTGTTTTATACAAGGATTCACTAAAGATCGGAATATTATCATTATTGTCTAATACATTAATAACGACTTGCGAGGTGCCGGATTTCGGTGGGGTCCCTCCATCTACAGCCGTCAGTGTCATAGTGATGACTGCCTGCTTTTCTCGGTCTAAGGCTTTCTGCAGCACCAACTCAGCAGACACACGGTCACCTGCTTTGTGCACGGCCAACGAAAAATTTTCATTTTGGCTTAATTTGTAAGTGCTTACTCCGTTTTTCCCCATATCCGCATCAGTTGCTTCGGATAATTCAAATTTCACTCCAGGCAATGTGCTCTCTGCAATATATAAATTTTGCAGTTTGGTTGTAAACAAAGGAGCATTGTCGTTTTCATCTAAGATCTCTACATCAATACGATAAAGCTTCAATGGGTTATTTATTACGGCTTCTACACTTACTGGACATTTTAGTTCCTCCGAGCAGAGCTCCTCTCTGTCTATTCTCTCACTGACATACAGAACACCAGTCTTTAGATTTACCTCGAAAAATTTTCTCTTTGATCCAGTAACGATTTGAAACATACGAGATTCCAACTCTTGTGAATTCAGGTTTAGATCCTTAGCGATATTCCCAACAGGAGTCCCCGGGTTTACCTCCTCTGAGATTGAATAGGAGAGCTGCCCAGCCACAGTCTGCCAGTAAACATCCAGTAGAAAAAGGCACAAATACATCCCAAAATAGCTCAATTTAAAGGGCGACATCTCTGTTCAATATGAACAAAGCATAAATTTGAGCTCCAGCGGCATTCAGATATTTAGGAAAGAATGGACGATCAGGGAGCTTTTTGACTGTAGTATTCTGTTTGTTCCAACGTCGTTTGAGTCTTATAACAAAGACAGAAATTGTTCATATCGCTTGTAAACGGGAGGGGCCAAGTTCTATTAAAGAGCAGGGCTGTAACTAATGGATCAACAGCGACGCCACGTGGTGAAAAGAGCGCAATGCAGAGGCCAGTGAAAACAGTTGCTTCTCCTGCAGCCATCAGGTCACACCAAAGGTATCTGAAAAGCTTAACTGACATCAGAAATCGGAACAACTCTTCTCTGCACCATGGACAACACCTGAATGAGTATCCTTGTATAAAGTGATAGTATCAAATACATCACATCCCAAGTTACTCTACCTTTTTCCACTTAACCTCTTTGTTCCATTCAATTTAAGAGTTATTTGTAGATTCGATTAACTACTAATGTGAGCTTAATAAACGGATAAAAAGTTGGAGGCTGCCTGAAATTTTTAGCATTCAGCCATGCCTATATAGCAATGTGTGAATTGCACCACAAGTTATATCATGTCTACAAATTTGTATGTATTTTTTCCCTAAGAGTGCGTAAAAACAAGCAAGCAAGCAAACAAAAACAGTAAAAAATAAACAAAAACAGTAAAAAACAAACAAACAAACAAACAAAAACCCCTCCCCAAACCATAGAAAATAGTACAGTTTCTTCTTCTGCACCCACATCAATGGCTTCTTTATTTATCTTTTAATGATTTTTTTCTCTTTCAGCCTTTTGGGCAATAAATATATTTAATCGTACATAGTTATTCTTGTGCACATATGAGCACAAGAGGGGGTGTCTGCGTCTTGTGTTGTATTTTTGGTGCATTTTAGTGTTACTCCACATTTCCACAGAGACAGTAGTCATGAGCTTGTTTGTAATCCCATGATTAAGCCCTAGATTCAGAAACTCCTGCCCTATTTCCATTCCTCAGAAAACATGATTTGATTTGAAAATATTATCCCACAACTACAATCATCTGTCAGCCCCCATAGACAATATTAATAATAATAATGGCTCACATAGGATGATCTGTGTGTTCATTTTCCTAATGCATGTAATAGAAAACAGTAGGTAGAGTATAGAAGAGAGAGTATAGTGCTCTTGCGGTTTATCAACATACACAAGCAAATGCATACATTACGCAACACATTTATCGCAATTATGCAACCCGTGATGAAATTCAATTATTCATGGTTTATTTTAGGGCCAGACTACACTACTTTGACCTTACAGGACTTCAGTCTGGATTATCATTCTCCTAAAGTCACCATGAAACACATATGAATGTTCCATAAATTTCACACTTGGTATTCTTTGCTGCCCAGTGAGAGGATTAACAATTTTTTTCTTATTCTAAACAAACAATACATTTTTAAAAGAAACAAATCTATGGTTTCTGTAATTATGGAAAACCTAGTTCCACATAGATGAAACACAGTATATTAGCCAGCAGCTCTGAATACACCCCGGAATTAGTGGTGGGTTACTGAGCATATCCATAAGGCCATCCACACCTCTTCATCCGGTGATAGAGTTACTTAGGGAAACATGCAGAATGTTTAGTTAATCAAAACATAGTTGTTTAAACAGTAATGCAAAAATAACAATTGATTTTTAACACCTATACACCTAGACCAACCTCAAACAAACAAAATCAACCAAAAGCAAGTTTAAACAGATAAGTTTTTAACTGCTTTTTAAAAGAAATGACTGAGTCCACAGATCTCAAACTCAAAGGGAGTGAGTTCCAGAGTCTGGGAGCCACTGATACATACACTCTGTCACCTTTTGTTTTTAACCGTGTATGCTGGACAACCAACAAGCCCTGGTCACAAGACCT